AAAAAAAAAAAAAAAAAAAAAGCCACTTCCCAATGGTTACAAAGTTATCATGTGGTAATACCAATATTCAAATTCAGTTATTCTGACTTCATAGTTCTCACATAACCCATACAATATTCTAACGGAGACCTGGTTAATAAGAAGGCAGGAAAAGATAATTTCAAAAAATTATTGTGACATTGAGGAAGCTCTTTTATTAGGCAATTGCTTCTTAGATATGACTACAAATGCATAAGGAACAAAAGAAATAATACATTGGTCTTTTGGTCTTTATTAAAATTGTTTAAAAATGTTTGTGCTTCGGGGCGCCTGGGTGGCGCAGTCGGTTAAGCGTCTGACTTCAGCCAGGTCACGATCTCGCGGTCTGGGAGTTCGAGCCCCGCGTTGGGCTCTGGGCTGATGGCTCAGAGCCTGGAGCCTGTTTCCGATTCTGTGTCTCCCTCTCTCTCTGCCCCTCCCCCGTTCATGCTCTGTCTCTCTCTGTCCCCAAAATAAATAAACGTTGAAAAAAAAAAAATTAACAGATCAAATTTAAAAAAAAAAAAAAAAAAAAAATGTTTGTGCTTCAAAGGATACCATCAAGAAAGTGAAAAGACAATCCACAGGAAAAAAATATATTTATAAAGCACGTATCTGATAAGGGACTTACACTGAGAATATAAAAAACAACTCCTACAATTCAATAATAAAAATACAACCCAATTTAAAAAAGGGCAAAGGTTTTAAATAGACATTTCTCCCCCAAAATAAAAAAATGACTAAAATCACATGAAAAGATGATTAACACCATAAACCATCAGGGAAATACAAATTAAGAGGCACCTGGGTGGCTCAGTCAGTAAGCATCTGACTTCGACTCAGGTCACAATCTCATGGTTCATGGGTTTGAGCCCCACATCAGACAGCTCAGAGCCTGGAACCTGCTTCAGATTCTGTCTCTCTCTCTCTCAAAAATAAATAAACATTAAAAAGAACTTTAAAAAAAAAAGAAGTAAAAATTAAAATCACAATAAGATGCTGGGGTGCCTGGGTGGCTCAGCCGGTTAAACGTCTGACTCCTGATCTCAGCTCAGGTCTTGATCTCAGGGTCATGAGTTCAAGTCTTTGTTGGGCTCCACGCAGGGAGTGAAGCCTACTTGAAAAAAAAAAAATCACAATGAGATGCTATTTCACACCTACCAGAATAGCTATAATAAAAAAGATAGAGAACAGCAAATGTTGATGAAAATGTGGAGAAAGAGAAAGCCTTATACACTGCTGGAGAGAATGTAAAGTACTGCAGCCACTTTGGCTGTTCCTCAAAAGGTTAAACATATACTATATTACTCAGCTCCTAGGTATAAACTCAGTTCTACGTCTAGGTATACACCCAAGAGAAATTAAACATATGTCCACACAAAAACTTGGAAACAAATATTCATAACAGTGTTATTCATAAAAGACAAAGGTAGAAACAACACAAATGTTCCATCAACTGGTAAATGGATAAAATATAGTATATCCATATAATGAAATGTTAGTCAGCAATTAAAAGAAGTACTGATGCATTCTACAACATGATGAACCTTGAAAACATTATGCTAAATGAAAGAAGCCCATCACAAAAGACCACAAATTGTATGATTCCATTCATATGAAATATCCAAAATAAGCAAATTTACAGACACAAAGTACATCAGTAGTTGCCTAGGGCTAAGAAGGTAATTTGAGAGAAAATGGGAAGCGACTGCTGATGGGCAAGAGACTTTTTAGGGTGACAAAAATATTCTAAAATTAAGATAGCGGTGATGGTTGCACACTTTATGAATATGCTAAAACCCAGTGAATTGTACACTTTAAAGTTTATTTATTTTGAGAGAGAGAGAGAGAGAGAGAGAGAGAGCGGGCGCGCACATGAGTGGGGGTGGGGCAGAGAGAGAGG